AGTATACCAGTGAACCCTAGCCATTGTTAATGTACCAGTGAACCCTAGCCATTGTTAATGTACCAGTGAATCCAATCTGTTGTTAGTGTACCAGTGAATCCAATCTGTTGTTAGTGTACCAGTGAATCCTAGCCATTGTTAATGTACCAGTGAATCCTAGCTGTTGTTAATGTACCAGTGAATCCAAACCGTTGTTAGTGTACCAGTGAATCCAAACCGTTGTTAATGTACCAGTGAATCCTAACTGTTGTTAATGTACCAGTGAATCCTAGCTGTTGTTAATGTACCAGTGAATCCATCTGTTGTTAGTATATCAGTGAATCCAATCTGTTGTTAGTATACCAGTGAACCCTAGCTGTTGTTAATGTACCAGTGAATCTTGGCTGTTGTTAATGAACTAGTGAATTCAAGCTGTTGTTAATGTATCAGTGTAATGTATTTAACAATGTGGCAGCTAATCCAAGCTGTTGTTAATGTATCAGTGTAATGTATTTAACAATGTGGCAGCTAATCCAAGCTACTTGCTGTAGAACTCCCACGTTTACCTAACTAGTGTTATCACGCAAGTAACCATTCAGCCTTCTAGATTTTAGTCAGCCGAATAATTCATGGAGTGTGGATAAATTAAACAAAGAAGACATTTTCGGTACATTAGAATTTTACAGGTTATTAAATATGAAATATTATTCCATCCTCGGTAGCTGAATGGTAAACTTGAGAGATTATAACGCTACAGTTAGGGGTTCGACCCCCCCCCCCCCAGCGGATAACTCGTGCATGAATGATCATAATCAAGTAAATAGTTACAATTGCAAATCCCCTCATCCCCAATAGGCCAGCAATAAGTTTACGGACTTACAACGCTCAACACCAGGGTTCCATTCCCCCACAGTGGACAGAGCGCAGATAGCCCATTGTGTAGGTTTGCACTAAAAAACAAACAAACAACAGTTTGTAAACAAAATACTGCAGATACAGCATCGTCGAACTTAATGATAGAGAATATCAAGTACTAATGTTGTTGAGATGTCACCTTTGTTGAAGTTGTTCATACTTGTTAATATGTTACACAAAACATGAGGTATAAGATTTCCATGATCTTTCGTTCAGGTAAAAAAAAATTCCACTTACTTTTACGCCTGTATATGCTGATGAGATGTTAACAGGATGTTATCTTTTCCAACAGTTCGCTTTTCTTCTGTCCCTCTGTGGAACAGATGTGAGTTTACGATAAAATCCGGGATTCGATCCCCCTGGGTGAACACAGTAGAGAACTCATTGTGACTTTGTCTCTAAAACAGACAGGCAATCGCTTTTCTTTTCTAAAAAAAAAAAGCACGTTAACAATGCATCAAGAACGATCAGGGACGTTATAATGATAGGAATAACTTTTAATGCTTTAAGTCATCCTACAGGGGGCTTCAGCTTTCATAGGTTTGAGTTATGAGTCTGGTTTAAAATTTACTGCTGTTGTTACACTTGTGGAATGTAATAGCGATATTATTTTGAATATACATGTTTACATGAGTTGGCCATAACTTAAGATTATTTTAATTTTGTCGCATGTTTGATTTATTATTATTATTTTAACAGTTTAAGTATATTCGTTTTCTATTTATAAGTATTGGAGCTTGAGTAAAGCTCTGTGAATTCCTTCATTGGACACTAAGTACGAAACTGTGAAGAACACTTTGCTATAGTAATTTGGTAAGAGGAGACTTTTAGCTGCACGTGTAGTGTCGGTTTCAACGTGCTGAACTTTGAGACTGTTAGATTAAAGTAGCACAAGGATTGAAGGTGGTGGAGTTGACTAACTGGGTTCCCTCAGAATTAGGAACCGCTAGTTCGCGGGTAGCTTTGCGCAAAATTAAACATTCATTTCAATGGGCTGTTGTTCCACGAAGCTTTTGTTAAATTTACGACGTTTACTATTAATTGTTCTAGTTTGCTCCTGAAGAAGAAAGGCCCACCTTTCGAAAGCACTTGGGTTATAGGGTTTTGTATCATTTCGTAATCAAGACTTATTGAACCTACGTGTTTTTCTGACATCATGAATTGCTCTAGTAATACAGCGACATCTGATTGGAAATAAGAAATAAGCATCTGAATTATGTAGTATTAAGTACATAATTATACGATGAAGTATAGTGAGGTGTATTAAGATTAGTTTACCACGAACAGTAACTTTGTTCATCGTCTCTACTGAACTATAAGATTTTATTGAAATGAACCTAAATATATAATAGAACCTAACCTTGATATTCTAATTCAATCCGGAGCACCGTTTTCGCTAAAGCTCATTGAAAAATATATCACTGTAAGTACTTATGAACGTATATAAGCATTTGTCTGTATCTTCCTCATTCGTAAAACTGTCGTTAGAGAGGCTGATAGTTTCAAAAACATTACATTAATATAAGGAAGCAAGGTAAAAATACTGTAGTGTTTGTTATATATATATATTCTTCGAATAGAAGTGAGGAAGTTTCAGAAAATAGATGTCGGTTACAAACAACAGTTTACTTGGCTTGGGAACCTCCCCACATTTATGGCTAAATAACCTGCCATAAAGAGTTGATTCCCTAAGACTGTCTATTCGGAAATCGCTCATTTGCAAAGGTAATTGTTTTAATGGAGAACGAAGGGAATGTAGCAAGCTGTTTACAGACTTGTCATTAATAGGGCTGTGTCGAAAGGGTCCGTTTTACTGGCCATCTAAGTCCTACCGTGGCTCTCTCGCTGTTGAATGAAGCACCATTTCTGGTCAACCTTCTTGGAACTTAACAACTCCCTGTATGTTAAGGTTTTGTTCAGAGCAGTTAAAATACTTCATAAAATCCAACGGCTTTGTTTTCTCATGGATGGTGTTTGTGACAACGACACGAGCCCTGGAGCTCTGCTGGGCTCGGCTTGACGGCTGCTGTAAAGTCGGGTTGATTCCTATAGCTTTAGGCGGATGAGAGGCTTCGTTGACCTACTGCCCGGCTTTTAAGGCCATTTTACCTGTAGTTACGTGCCAAGAGTTTACACAGGCCTACAAACTTACAGCCGGGAAGTGACAGAGTCTTATTTTTGTTGTCCTCGCAGATCACTAGAATACTTTTAGTCATTAAATGAAAACACAATTTATAAGTTCAGAAACAACTCGTAAAGAAAGGAAATGACGTCCTTTGATGGATGACAAATATGGATTCTGCTGGTAGCAAACAACTTCTACTTGAAGAAGGCAGACGAACGTTCTGTCGAAACGTACAGTAAAATCAACTCATTATGATGGATCAGCTTTAACGCACAATTCGGGGTTCGATTTCCGCGGCGGACAAAACGCAAACAGTCCACTAAAATAAATTTAAAATTGACAGACTTCATATTTCGTATTTCGAGTGGTTTTATATGCTTATTCTTTAATTCGGTCTATTTTGTAACAATTAAAGATAATCGTACGAAACCCTATAACCCGAGAAATTCTGTAAAGGTGGGCCTTTCATCTGTTTGACCTGATGAAGAAAGGTCCACTTTTCGAAACCGTTTTGGTTTTAGGGTTTCACATGTTTATCTCTGGTTGATGTTTTTGAACCTACGTGTTTTACAAACACCATGATCGTATGAATTACAAACTAGTTTTGAGAAGTGATGTATCTTTCAGTTAATAAGGAACACATTTGAAAATGTTAAAACAGGTTAAACAAATCTTATTGTTGGGTAATACGTCCTTTGTCGTAGTTAATATATTGTTAGATAAAACGTTTTTTGTCGTAGTTAATATATTGTTGGGTAATACTTTTTTGTGGTAGTTAATATATTGTTGTGCAATACTTTTTTGTGGTAGTTAATATATTGTTAGGTAACATGTCATTTGTCGTAGTTAATATATTGTCGGGTAACACGTCCTTTGTTGTAGTTAATATACTGTTGGGTAATACGTCTCTTGTAGTAGTTGAAAAACAAAAAAAAACAAAACGCTGTATGCAGTTGAAAGCTGAAAATAGTTAGCCGCTTAAGCCTACAGGTATACACCATGCACCCATGAAGTAAATGTATGTCAGTTTGAGATTTTATTTTCAGCAAACCAATATTCATGCACGAAAACGATATTTTTAAGTCACTGGAGACAGTTTGGGGTGGTGCTTATCTGTGTAAACATTTCTAATCTTTAACAGAAAAGAAGGGCAGATCATTGGTTAATGTGCCGGATTGTGGCTCGCGCTGTGGATGCGTTACAAAAGTGACGGTTAAGTCACACTCTTCGGTCTTGAAAGAGTTGTCGGCGGGTGGTGTTGACTAGCTGCCTTCCCTCTAATATATTTTCAGATTGAATGACAGCTAGTGCGTAGGTTTGTGCAAGAAACCGTAACAAATAATAGATGTGAGCATAATTTTTTATTCCAATTGTTTTAATGATCGTGCACTAGCCGCTGGCTTTTGAAATCTGGCTATCCACTGGCTGTTGAGAGAACTACCAAGCCTATAATATTATCACATGTAATAGAACAATTCGATAAATTCAAATGTTAAGGTTTGGATTTCTCGGCATATATGTGTTCATATTTACAAGACATTCTACTAACAGTACTACATTATGAACATTAATATTTGGTTGTCTTCCATAGGGTCTGCAGATGCGAATGGGAGGACTGGACACTTCAGCCTATCTGTCTACATCTGCTAGCTCATCAGCACTCGTGGTGTTAGCTTCACAGCCCAGTTCTCAGGTTCAAGGGCTGGAGAAGGAACCAGCTTCGCCCTTTTATACACCGTTCACGTCAGCCGGATCCTTTCCTGCACTGCCCATGTTTGGACCAGCAGACACTTACCCGCCCCACCTTCTTCCGGTTTCTTCGCCCATGATGAACTCATCTGGTCTGGATAGACAAGTTAGCTTTCTAAATTCTGGAACAGGTAGTAACCTTAGACCTTTGGAGGTCACAGATGAGCGAGTAGGCAACGGATTTAATGGATCAGCTTTCATTCCCGCAAATGTTTTGAAAACTGACAACTCTGATCCTACAAGTTCCCAATCTTTTCAGCATCCTAAGTACCAGAGTAATAACATCTTCCAAAGCGATGCTAGCACTTCCCAAAGTTTTAGAGTATCGCCGCCCGTTCGAGTTAAGAAAGAATGCTCTACCGATAAGGGCCTATCTATGACCAGCCCGGAAGTGCCCGATCATTTGGCCGAAACGGCCGTATCTGACGGTGGAGACTCAACTGACCGAGGTACACCCGAAGAAGGCCGTCTGAGACGAAGTAAGTGTTTTTAAAATATGTCAAAATCACTGAGTAATATTGTGAGCATTGGGAGATTACTGTATTTACTCATGACTAATTTTTAAGACGTATATCTTCAGGTATTTTGATCTGCAACAACAGTTGACTTCACTAAATAAGTTGTGGAAACGTGCACTTTACAGATGGGCCAGTTCAAGGGCCGGTCATGGCCTTTAGTACTTATCCCGCCGATGTATTTAGAACCGCGATACCACTGAATACGCCCAGTAATTATAGCTGTGGGCGAATTATTAAAGTAACAATTAAACCCCGTTATTTGACTAGTTACTCTCAATCTGATCAGTAATTCAAAATTAGGAACGGCTGTATCAGAACCCTAGGGGTATCTGGCCTAGCCGTTCAGCCAACACCCGCATAAGGCTCTATTCAGATTGAAAGTAGTGCGCATGGCTTGGTAGTTAAAGATTGAAAGTAGTGCGTATGGCTTGTAGTTAAAGATTGAAAGTAGTGCGTATGACTTGTAGTTAAAGAACGCACTACTTTCAATCTTTAACTACCAAGCCATACGCACTACTTTCAATGTTTTTGTCTCGTGATCTAGCTCTTCCATGATTGGTTAAGAGGTTTCATATAGCGTTTTGTTGAATTTCGAGCAAAGCTACTCGAATAGTGGAATTAGCCGTCACGTTATAACGCCGAGGGCTGAGAGATCAAGTATGTTCGGCGACGGGTTTCGACCCCACGACCCACAGATCGGGAGTGAAGTTCTTTAACTACCAAGCCATGCGCACTACTTTCAATCTTTCACTACCAAGCCATGTCTAATCGAATAGTACGGAGTGAGTTTAGTACACTTATAATTAAAGCTGCTGACTTATATCATGTATGTATTGAATACTGTATAAAAATAGTTTAAAACTTAATTCGAAGCATCTGACGCGTGGAAGTGTACGGGGGTAAGTATAATAATTAATCACAGAATTACCGACATCATATGGACCTCAGCAGATTTTAAATATTTTTCTAAATTACTTATGCACCAAAATATTTGCGAGTCCATGACTTTCAAGGTTACAGGGTCCTTATAATCACACACGACACACATAAAATGTAAATACAAATATTATAAATATCACAATTAATCCCACAAATTATTTTACAGAGAAATTAAGCGATTGTTTCCTATTATACAGCCAGTACTTTACACTGAGTGATCAGTGTAACAGGCAAAAATATAAAACTATTCAATATGGCACAATACAGGAACCCACCGGTAATGAACGATATAAAAGGAAATCATTAATTTGAAGGTGAAATTTTATTAATGCGGTTTATTTACACTTCTTTTTAACAAATAAATCGTACTGTTTTTCGGAAGACGTTAAGCCCACCATACACTATACATGTTTCAGAAATGCTCACTTCTTGTGGTAGCCATTTTATAAAAAGGGTGACGATTAGCCCAAGAACTGTTGGTGGCTACTGTTGACTGGCCTTCCTTCTAGTCTATAAGCTCAAAATGAGGGGCAGCTGTGTGCAAATAGGTCTTCTGTAGCTTTGCTTTAAAACAAACAAGCATTGATTGTAGAACCGTACACAACAGAAAAGTACTTATCACCGTATTCAAATGGCATGATGTCTAAACTTGTTCCCAAACTTTTTTTTTAAAGGAAATCCCAAGGTTCAGCTTTAAAGGTACTAAGTAAAAAAATTATTGTCCCAAATATATAAACACGGAAGAGTGCACAATTTGTGGTCTTTGGCAAAAAATAAAACCTAATATGACAGATCTCGAAAAATATTCCTTTAACCCTTCTACAACCAGAATATCGACACAAACGTGTGGTTAATAAGGATACTTTTATTACTATTATTAACGGAATTTTTACTTACAGGTAGAATAGTGAGTGAATGCTCTAATACTTCATTGTCTATAATATTTCAACTTCATGGGTCAGTCGTATTTTCGTCAGTCAAGTTATTGTTTCAAGTCCCCCATCTCGTTTCTCCAAATTTTGAACTTGTGTATGTTAAGTAACAGCGAAAGGTAAATCAATATGTTTATAATAAAAAAGTTTTGTTGTTGTTGTTATTGTTGTTGCGAGATGAAATACCAATTTTCTCCTTTTTATGTATTTTAACTTTTGGTTTGCCACAATAAAATTATGCATGGAGACGAGCGTGACTTAGTACTTAACTTGTCTAGACTTGAATACAATAATCCCAAGTTTGCATCCCGTTGCTTGATAAATGCACTTAGAACTTTAGGGCAGTTGATGCTATAACAGTGACCCCCCCCCCTTTCAGTGGCACAGCGGTATGTCTGCGGACTTACAACGCTAGAAACCGGGTTTTAATACCGTTGGTGGGCAGAGTACAGATAGCCCGTTTTGTAGCTTTGTGCTTAACTTCAAACAAACAAACAGTGACGACCGTATCAATTGAGGCTTTGTACTGGCAGTTGGGGTTTGTGTTTTAATGTAACGCTCCTGAAGAAGCTGTAAAGCGAAACGTCCAATTAAAGAAAAATAACAAATTTGGTGTTATAAGATGCTAGTACTAATATGTCTTGTATACAGCAATATGCACCAGAGAAGATAAATAACACCGAAAACAGTGATTTTTAGTGCACATTTCTATATTCTAACAAGTTTTATATTAAAACTATCCTTGACTATAGGTGAGAACAACCTTTATTAGGCTTACAAAATACCATTGCTTCGCCAGTTTGTACGATGTTTGATTATCAGGAATTATAATTATGAATACATTTTGTTGTGAAATATGAAACAGGAAATATGCTGGTATCCATTTTCAGTGTCTTAAACCTCTATCGTTTTATGAATTTCAGAAAAATTAATAAATTAAAGAAGCCTATTGTTGTTGTTTGAAGTTAAGCACGAAGCTACACAATTGGTTATCTGTGCTCTACCCACCACGGGTATCGAAACCCGGTTTCTAGCGTTGTAACTCCGCAGACATACCGCTGTGCCATAAAATCAAGTACAAATATATATATATATCAACCACTAGTAACCCCTTCCTTTTACCCTTTTCTCCGTACTGTACTCCCCCTTTACTCCGTTCAGAGATACGTGTTAAAAATACGGAGTAACATAAATAAAGCTATGTTGTCAGATCGTTCGAGTGTTTTTGTTTTACGAATTATCAGTTAGATATGTGCGTAAAGTATTATTGTCACAGATGGCGCGGAAAGGGTAGCCTCATCAAATCGTCGTTTGCAAGGTCCCCTAAAGCTGAGGTAAACTTGCGGAAGGATCCCTCTGTCCAAGAAACCACGAAATATTTATCGACCAGAAAGAGATCAAGTTGCAGCACCAGTTCTCCGAGTTCTGTTTTTAACCTCTTTATTGGTGTGTATGATTGGTACTTTTTACATTTGGAATGTGAAGACAGAATCGTGTACTGTGTATATGATTGGTACTTTCTACATTTGGAATGTGAAGACAGACCCGTATACTGTGTATATGATTGGTACTTTCTACATCTGGAATGTGAAGACAGACCCGTGTACTGTGTATATGATTTGTATTTTCTATATCTGGAATGTGAAGACAGACCCATGTACTGTATATATGATTGGTACTTTCTACATCTGGAATGTGAAGACAGACCCGTGTACTGTGTATATGACTGGTACTTTCTACATCTGGAATGTGAAGACAGACCCATGTACTGTATATATGATTGGTACTTTCTACATCTGGAATGTGAAGACAGAGCTGTGTACTGTGTGTATATGATTGGTACTTTTTACACCTGGAATGTGAAGACAGTGTAATTGAAAGAATTATATGAGTAGTTTGTAAATGTATTGTACAATATACGAAAATATTAGAGATTCTGTTAGATACAATACCCATGGCTTGTCAAATTGAAAATGATTACGAACGTTCATCATTATTTTCTATAGAAATATTAGAACTCACTTTCTGAGTCGTGGAAAACATTATTGTGCATTTTGTTAGTAAACTTTACGTAAACATTTTAGTTGTTGCTAATTTCTTTGTTTTTTAAAAGAAAAAACTGCCCAGTAGGATATTAGTGTTTGTACCCACCGCTGGGATCGAACCCTAAACTTTAGCGTTATAAATCCCTAAGCTTATGCCCTTTGAAGGATTTTATTGCACGTTTAGTCGGTAAAATTCGTTTACAATCTTTGTTAAGCTTCACAATGGGCTATCTGTGCCATGCCCACCACGGGTACGGAAATACGGTTTTTAGCGTCATAAGCCCTCAGACTTACCGCTGAGCCACTAGGGAGGTATTTGCTGTTAATTTTATCTATATCTTTAAGCCATTTTATTTACTTAGTTCTACAAGAGTCGTTTATTACGACACATATTTACAAACCCGATACTCATCTTCATTTCTCAGTTGATTAAAATATTTGAAGGTATCTTATCCCCCCAAAGATGATGTTTTAAATACCTGTTTGGTTTTGTGTGCTTCTCACTCGTTTTTAAACCTAAAATAAGCAGTGATATCTGTACTTTGTGTAAACCCTAAAGATAACTATATCCTGTTATACAGAACAATTGGCGAGTTGTATTTTCAAGATTGAAAACTCTTCAAACCAGAACGTTAATTTGACATTTTTACAAGTTGATGTACGAACTATTGTGAATCGAAACAGTACAAATTGTGACATTTTTCACTCTCTCGACAACGCCTTCATTCGTCTTCAACAGATGTACTAACATATGTGTGTTTAGTTAAACGAGTAACTTAACATTTTGATTATAACGCGCCATTCGTTACGAGTTGCCTTAATATTTTACAGCCGAGTTACTGTAAACCCGCTTGTGACGTTATATTACACTTCTGTCTTGACTTATTCTACGCACATTGTCTCTCGATTTGGCTTTTCTCCTTTCCCTAATCTTTCATTGCAATAAATGGGCTGGGCGTGCCTTATTGGTTTAGTGTACCAGGTTGCGGAGCAGAGGGTCCAACGTTCGTGCTGAGAAATGCCGCTGTACACGCTCTCCGGAGAT